GGGGGGCCACGACTGCCCTCTGCTCCCATGGCAAACTCCTTCATGTAGCGTGTGAGGCCCTGCTTGTCTCAGCCTTCCCTACCCCTGCCCCAGCCACACTCCAGATCCCACTCCCTGATCTCCTTCTCCCTCCCTCGCCCCTTCCTCAGGCCCCCTAGTCTGAGAGGGTGGGCCCCTGGCTGTGAGTCTTCCTAGCCTCCCAGGTGACGCCCCACTCCCTGTGGCCAGTGTGCATCTCACTTCCATCCTCCCGGCAGCATGAAAGCCCTGGGGAGGCAAGGGTCCTGCTAGCTGTTGTCCGGGCACCTCCACACCTGGGGGACTGCCTGGCTGGAGCAGGAGGGCAGGCAGCACTGTGGGATGAGCAGATGAGAGGTGCTTCCTGTTGTGAGAGCTGAGAGTGGGGCGGTGTTCCCTCAGCACCTTTGATGTTTTAAGGCAGACTGGCTAAGTGAATGGCTTCTGAAACACGTTTGGGAAGGGAATTGTGCTTTCAATGGGAGAGCAATGAAGAGGCCTAGAAAAGGAGGGGTTCAGGGAAGGACACAGAAAAGATCGGTACTTTTTAAAAATATATTTTATTGATTTTTTACAGAGAGGAAGGGAGAGGGATAGAGAGTTAGAAACATCGATGAGAGAGAAACATCGATCAGCTGCCTCCTACACCCCCCACCACCGGGGATGTGCCCGCAACCAAGGTACATGTCCCTGACCGGAACCGAACCTGGGACCCTTCAGTCCGCAGGCCATGCTCTATCCACTGAGCCAAACCGGTTAGGGCAAGATCGGTACTTCTTAGGGAAACACTTACTTTCTCATATGACAAAACCACATTCACTTCAGGGAGCATCTGCCAGTTGTAGGAAGACACAGAGGAGGGAAGAGCATCTCCTCTCAGCCCTTCTTGGGTCCTTAGAAAGAGTAACTTTGTCGCTGCCTCTTCTGCCTCCTCCTCTACACCATTGAGCAAGGGAAGCCGGCAGGGAGGGTGAGCCAGCACCCCCCCCCCCCCCCCCCGGCCGTGTGCAGCAGGTGTCAGTGAGGGCAGACAGTCCTCTCATAAACGCTGCATGACACCTCGCAGAAGGGAGCACAGGACACTGAGATGGTGTAGAGGGGAGTGCCACGGGTCCCAGGGAGAAAGGCCCTCATTGGGATGTGTACGTGTGCAAATATAGCCACGTGGCTACGTTCCCCAGCTCATTTCTTAGCCTCCATTTCTTGAATGATGGCTACCTATTTAGAAAACAGGTACTTTGGAAGTAAGCCTATAAGATTTTCCAAAAAATTTAAAATGTTTTGTTTCCAAAATGTGTATTATGCTCAACCTTTAAAGAACATGTGTCTCCTAAGCATGCATGATGGCCCTGCGTTCCTGGTGTCATCCACACGGTCTGCCCTCTGTGCGAGGTGTTGATGGACACGTTTGCGCATGGAGAAGGAACTCTGGAGATGTAATTTATTATTTGACTTGGCTGAAAGGTCACGTTACCAAAAATCTTCCTGGAGCTCTATTGTGGAGTCTCCTCTGAGACTTGTGCCCTTTGGGTAATGGACACTCCTTCCTGTGCTTCAGAAAGATGGTCTTCCTTCCGAACTGACCGAGAAGACGCCTGTCTTTATTTCCAGAATTTTAGCAGCAGAAGGCTCAGGTTAGGTTCGGTCTCCCGAGTCTGTCCGTGGAGGAAGCCTGCGACTGTCTGAGGTGTTCCGCACAAAGCCTCTACTTCCTGAAGAAAACAGGACTTTGGACCCAGGCTTCTGAGATTAGGAATCTGGGTTGTTTGTGTTTGCGGTCACTGGTGGATCATTGTGCTGATGTCAGCGTGTTCAGTCTGGGTTTCGAGAATAAATCAGGTGTTTGCATGAAGAAGCTGATCCTGAAACCGACTGAAACAAACTGTGTTCTCAGTTTCCAAGGCTAAACTAGTTCACAAGCAAAAGGCACCCTGGCTGCTGTAGGCTGACTTTAACCCTCAAATGTATGTAGAATTGGCACACTGAAATGGATATATAATTGTGCTATCAATTTTTTTTTTTTGGTTTCAAATTTTTAATTGGTTGGGGCTAAATCTGGATAAAATTTTCACATCACAAATTATGAAGAGTGAAATCTTAACAGTTGAGGTTATATTAGTGTTTATGTTTTTATCAGAAATTAGAAAAACTCCCAGGTGCTGTGAAATCTACTAAGTCAGTCAGTTTCCTGATTGAAGTATCTGAATATGACTGGTAGTGGATGATCCCTTCCTGTCCTCACTGGACTGAATTCCATGGCTTCCAGAGTACGGTCACCCCCTGCTGGCCAGTCCTGGAACCACAGTCTCATAACCAAGAGGTGTGGGGAGACCACAGGTGGAGGAGCAGGTACAGTGCAGAGTGGTGAATTCTGCAGATGTCAGGAGAGAATTCTCTGGGAGCCCAGGTCGCCCAGCCTCTGATGTGGCGAAGGCTGTGCAGAACAGAGGGCATGTGCCTCCTCTTGAGGGCTGGATGAGATTTTCTCCTACACGAACCTGGAAGTGGGGGAACGTCAGCAGGAAGGTTGTTCCAGCAACAGGCAGCACTGCGTGAGGGTGGGCAGGTCAGCAGGCAGTGCTGCGTGAGGGTGGGGCTGTGTTTGGATGGTGTGGACCTGTTCCTTGGGGTTGGTGTGTGGGTGGGGGACTCACAGGGCACAGGGCCACTAAGATGGGCTGGGTCAGGCCGAGGAGGGTCTGTGCGCTGGGTTAAGATGCTGAGACTGTCTCCAGAGGCCTGACCGCGTGCTTCTCTTTTTCCTCTGGAAAACGGGTCACCATGAAGACAGGGTTCCAGGTAAATACAGTTCAGGTTGAATTTCAGATAGATCATGAACAATTTTTAGTAGAAGCCTATCCATACTAGTGCATTATTCATTGTTTATCAAATTTAAATAGGCATCCTGTGTTTTATTTGCTACATCTGGCCACCTTAAAAGATCATCATAGAGCAGAATGTATTCATCTGATGAAGTCTTACCCTTGGAGGTTATTAACCCAACCATAGGTTGAATATTAATTAAAGCAAAGATGTAACCAAAATTATGGTGTTAAAGCAAAGATACAAGAATTGTAAACTTCTGTACGGACTTAGGATTAAGTTATGCTCTTAACTTGTAAAGCGGGTGTGAAATGCTGTATGCTCTCCCTCTGCAGGAGGCTGGTCTTCCTGCAGATGCCCACAGTACTGTGTCCGAGCCCCGGCTGATTACGCGAGTAGTCCAGCTGTAGTAGAAGCTGAAGTACAGTAACGGTTTTGCTTATCTTGGAGTAATGGAGCACCTTGTGGGCATGATTGACATACTTGTCTCTTTAAAAAAACTTTCAGAGGATTTTGCTTGGTCCCTTTCCCTCCTGAGACTTCCCTGTAGCAAGCAGAAGATGAAAGCATTTTGGTGCAAGGCGTGTGCATGTGTGTGTTTGAAATTCTATTCCCAGGAATTCAGGGCCTGGAGAACAAGCATCCTGAGAGTCTGTCTCTGGTATTTTCTCCCTTCTGGTCCCTGCTTCCCGCAATGTGTGCCGGGTGATGTGCTGGGGCTGACAGCCTGGGGAAGAGCGGAGATGGTGGCCCAGTCCTTGTTGCTGGGGATGGCTGGGACACTGTGGCGGATGTGCCAGGCTGTGTGCATAGGAGCCTGGGGTTTCCCAGCCATCCAGTCATGACCCACCGTCCTGCCTCTGGGACTCCTGCTCCCTGGACAGCTGACCTCTGGCTGCCTGGGCCTGTGAGGCTGGGCAGGGTGGGCTGGACCAAGCAGGGACGCCTACATCCAAGGGGCAGGGGCTTCAGGAAGTTGAGAGGGTGATTCCTGGCCTCGATTTGAGCTGTGGAGCATCCTTCTGCTGTCACCAGGCTTTCAGAGTTGCCCTTGCCCATGTCTGGGGTGCTCCTGGTTTTCCAGGGACTCTATGTTGTAGGCCTCTTCCTTTCAATCATGTAGTATAAGAAGTTAATTTTATCATTTATATAGACTCAGTCATTGATTTGCCTAAAAACAACAAGCACCCATTCTCCTGTAAAACAAAATGAAACCAGAACTTCTAAAGAACTTAGACTCATTACTGATAACAGCTCTGGGATTTCAGCCATGTGTTTTGGTGAGAGCTCACAGGGCAGTCATCTTAGGTCACAGGACATGTGGGAAGAGGCATGCTTCCTTGGGAACCGAATATCCTCCATCTTCAGGAAGCCGATGTATAGAAACTGTAATGGGCGGGTTTGTGTTCCTCACTGTTCATGGGGACACAGAAATGTGCCCCGAGTCTCCATGCTGTAACCTATAGCATTTACAAAGCAATAGACTGCACTTCCTCACAGCGGCTCCGTATTTCTGGTAACTAACAAGGTCAGACGCTGGTTCCTGGAAAGTGCTGTGAGTCATGCCATGTTGGTTTTCTCTGAGTAGAAATCTGATTTTTTTCCTTCCAACGCCAGCATTTAAATGACTTATCTAACCATGGGCGCCATTCAGATGGGCCCTGCGGTCAGGTCAGCAGCACAGAGCGAGTCCACCTTGTGCTGTGTTGTGGGAGTGGGTGTGTCCAGGGCACCTCCCCTGGTGCAGCCACCATAGGCGGCGGTGAGTGGGCCCCGCCGAGCTCCGGTGGAGCCCAGGGTGTTTTTGGAGCCATCCCTGCTGCTCCCTCAGAGGCCACTTGGAGGGTCTGTCTGTGCTTATGCCTGCCTACCCCCCTCACTCGCTGTCCCTGGCTGCCAGACCTCTCTCTTCGGATGGTAGTGTCACCCCAAATACGTCCAGATCATTCACTGGGTCTTTGAAACTTCACATGAGGTGTGGAACAGGGCTTCAGAGGAGGGCTGTACGTACATGAACGAGGCTGAGTAGATGCACCCACCCTCATGCAGGGTGACACGGGTGGCATCCTCATCGTGGGAGGCCTGTTGTCTGTATTTGATGTGGGAGCACATTTCCTGGTCTGTTTTTCTGACTGTAGGCATATCTGTTTCCACTGTAGGACTGGTAGCCATAAAGGACGCCCATGACATAGAGACCAGGCTCAACGAGGTGGAGAAGTTGCTGAAGACCATCATAAGCATGCCATGTAAGGTGAGTGGGTCGGGTCCGGCTGGGCGGGATGGTGGCACATCCCACCAGCATCCACATAGCTGGCCTGCTGGCTCCCTTGGCCACCTGCCCCTCCCTGGAAGTGTCAGGCCATAGGGAGGCCAGTGGGTAGACCTGGGAAAGAAAGACTTTGATGAACTCCAGTGGCTCTATTGTTTCCTCCCTGGGCAGGAGGGAGTGAGGGGCCAAAGAGGCGTTGAGTAGGAAGGGAAGGGGCCCTCCGCTACAGTGGTCCTTGCTTTCCTGCTTCCATGCAGAAGCCCCTGGTCTGGCTGAGGGTGTCTGAGAAGAGGCGTGAGGAGCCCGAGGGAGTGTTGGCCTCAGCAGCGGCAGGTGGATAAGCAGCTTGCAGGCCTGGGTGCTGTGGTGATGAGGAACCGGCTGAGTCAGGCTACCACCTTACTCCTGCAGGCTGTTGCCTGCCTCCTCTGTGGGCACTCATAGTTTACTGTGAAGTGAAGGGAGCTGTGGGGAAATGCTGGCCATGCAGCACTGAGAAAAGCTAGCCAGCTTCTGTCACCCAGTCCTGCCTGTCCCAGGGGCTCTGTGTTTAGCCACGTGTCCATAAATAAACGAGGTCAGCGATTTCAGCCTCTTTCGCATGGTCGGTCCTGCGGGCTGTCTGAACAGCTCTGGGTAGCACTAGATGGGGCCACCTTGTAGAGGATTAATTTTAGTAATTAACCCATTTCTCCCCAGTATTCTAGGTCAGAAGTTGTGCTCACCTTCTTTGAAAGATCTCCTCTGGATCAGGTGCTAAAAAATGACAGTGTACATAAAATTCAACCCAGCTTTCAAAGTCCAGTGAAAATTTCAGGTAAGAGCTACAGAGAAGGCCTGGGGGAAATGCCGCAGGGGTTTCTAGGAGCTTTTCAGTGCGGTGCCTGCGTGGCTGCACCCCCCCGCACCCCCCTCGGGCTCCAGAAAGACAGCTCAACAGATGGTGAGCATCTTGGGTGAGAGGCTGCTACCAGATCCCTATGAACAGTGTGTTTTCTGACCCAGAGTTCACACTCCGCCTCCATCCTAAGGGAGTTACTTGGCATATAAATTGGAGCTTAAGAAGCAGTATAATGATGAAAACATCAATGAGGCATTTCTGAAGCAACCTTCTGGAGCCAGTAGTCTAGCCTGCTGAAAAAGATAGTGCACATAATGTGGCACTGAATTGTTCTTAGTCTAGGGCAGCTGTGGCCAAAGGGGAACACACCGTCTAGGTATTTGTTAGCATTGATAAATTAACTAAAACATTAACGAAAGAGGCAAGGTTGGCCGCAGTAAGTAATTGTGCATTGAGCAGAGCGCTGGCCAGCTCACCTGTGGAGTCACATGAAAGGAAGGGGGCCCTGGACTTCACCCTTTGTGGTAGCTTTCTTAGCTCTAGTTGCCCCTGTCGTAAGAACACTGTTGCTTTCTGCAGTGCTGTCTGTGAAGGCCGCTGAGGGTCGCAGGCAGGCACCGGGCTTCCCCAGGCAACAGGCAGTCCACTTGTTTTGGCCTAAGAAGTAGCGTTTGCGTGGAGTCCTGCAGGGTCTGCCAGGTGGGAAGGGAGGGAAGGCAGCGGGCTGCAGGCTACCCGTGAGGGCCTGCAGAGCATCCTGGTCTGTAGGAGGCAGAGGAGGGATTCTGGAGGAGGAAGGAAGGAAGAGGAGGAATGGAGGAGCAGCCTCTAGAGGAAGTAGATGAGAGGGGAGAAGAGCCCAGAGCCGGCTCCTAAGAAGAAATTGGTGGTCGTGGTGAAGGGGAGACCGAGGAAGCCAACCCGGAGAATGTCATTGGTGGAAAAGTGTCCTTGTTGAGTTCTGTGCCACAGCGGGGACCAGAGTCCTCATTGTGTGTTAGTGAGGTGTGCAGGGTGGGTGAGGTCTGGGAACCTGGGATGGAGAAGGTACTTCCAGGTCTGACTGTGTGAGGATGAGTGGGAAGCCTGGGTTTGTCTGTCTGCTGCTTTTGATGTCTATACAGCTTCCTGTGTATTCCTGGCAAGAGAGCAGGGGTCAGAGCCCTCCTCCTTCGTGGTAGAGTGAAGGTGGCTGTCGTTTATCCTGGTGGGTGTCATGGGCTCCAGGCCCGGAGGCTCGGGGGGCTCCGGGACCAGATGGCCAGTCCTGCTGGTTGCATGCTGCCCGCTGGAGCGGGGCAAGCTCTGTCCTCAGTACGTGGTGGAAGGGTCCCAGCACTGGTGTCCCTGCTCTGCCTCAGCTCTTTCATGTTGAGCAAGTGGGAGAGCAAAGAGCAGCACAGTCCTTTCAGGGCCGGTGTTGGTACAAGAGCTGGTGTGCTTCAGGTTGGCTCCACGTGGAGAAGGACCGACTCGGGCTGTGTGGCGTTGCCTCTGAGTACCTCCCAGAGTGCGACCGCATGGAACATCCCAGCCCTCTTAGTGGCCTGTCTTATCGGTGACAGTGACGGGTAAATGCAAGGCCACGTCTGCCCTAAGGAGCTGCGAGGACTGAGATGAAGGGATGGCGGTAGAGTCCCATGCTGATGTTTAAGTATGTTCTCCCTGCTTTTCCAAGAGGACTGAGGACAGAGGTTTTGGCTTGCCCTGTATGTGAGCCTCAGTGAGGCCCTGCGTGGGTGACCAGGGACACGGTGTCCAGGTCTAGGGAGGCAGGGTGCTGACCTCCTGCCAGCCGGGAGCCCAGGTGGGGGGGTATGCTCTGTCCTGGGGACGTAGCAGTCACTACTCCCCAGTGTTGGCTCTGCACAAAACACTTCATAATAAACGGGGCTGCCAAAAAATGGAGTTTGTAAATATCTACTGCGCGTCGGTCCCCGAAATCCTCCAGCTAGGCGCCTGTCCAAGGAGCCCATGCGCGAGGTGACAGGCTTGGGGAGCACCAATCGAACCGTTCCTGAGCTGAGTCTCTGACAAGAAGGGGTGTCCTCCTCTTCTGCCCTCATCAATGGAGCCTGAAGTCTGGGAGTCTCCCTTTGAAGCTTCCCAGCATAGACTAGCGTGTAGGTGTGCCGGCCTGGGGGTGTTCCACGGAGGTGGGGTGCACGCTCATTGCTCACTGCTCGAGGAGATAAATATACGAAGACAAGGCACTGTGGTAAATTAGGAGACACTTTTCAGTCAAACTGGGGTTTGCGGTGGCACCGACATCCCTTTGAAGAACGAGTGCACACATTTGCCAGTGGTGCCTTTCAGTCTCCGACCCCTATTCTGGGGTTGCTGCATTCGGGGGTCCCCCAGGCTTGAACATCCACAAGTGTCTCTATCAGCCTCACCCTGTCCCTGGCTTATAGCCTGGATGCTGACTGGTCATCCCACAACTCTGGCTCCCTGAGCTCAGTAATTTCTCAGAACCCGGCATCCACAATAAAACCCAAGCCCCCCAGTCATTCTAGGCATGGCAGAGTCTGGCTGGCTCCAGCTTTCTGATTTTGTCACCACAGCACCCTCTGCTGCAGACCCTCCTGGCTGAGCTTCGCTCGTGCTGTGTCTGCCCCTCCACGTCCACTCCTGTCCTGCTAAATTCCATTCATTCAGCAAAATGCCCTCACTTGCTGCGACTCACCCAGCCCCTCCTCCTCCTCTCCCCGGAGATTTCCTAGTGCCTTCTCATGCTATTGACATGGCATTTAGGGAGGAGGTGCCATGGGAACGGGCACTGGCCTCCCTGGCTGTGAGAGGCTGCTCTTCACACTGGCGACTTAGGTGCATCAGGCCTCTGCAGGCACAGCCTCCTCTCTAATATTCAAACTGTGCAGTGGCCACGGGCCCCACTAGGTGGCGCCAGGCCCTGGTGGTGCGAGAACCGAGCCAAGTCCTGGGCCCACAACAAGGGCAATGGATTCTCTGGTGATGCTTTGGGTCAGTACAACCTCAAACAGTCCTCAACCCATGTTAATCTAACTATTATCAAACATAAGAAAAATAGAATATATGAATTAATGAACTGAAGGACTGATAGCATATGGAGCGCTGGAAACCATGGCTGCAGTTAAAAAAAGAAAAATCGTTACCACAGTAGTAATTACTGCAGAAAAGATCCATTAATAGCTGCTAAGATTAGTGGCAAAAGTTTCAGGAGAAGTAGGATTTGCATAATCTGGATGCATCTCCCTAACAGTATTTCTTAACCACAAGGGAAATATAGTAACCTTTGGGGAAACTGGCAGAAGCCTCCTTACCCAGGTGATCCAGGCCCACATCCCAGGAGTGAGGCCAGTGACATCACACACCCAGGGCTCCTGCTAGAGCGAACCACTGTGGTCAGAGCTCACGGAAGCATCAGACACTTCGAGGGACGTCAGTAAAATAACTCACCAGTCTCTTCAAAAGTGTCCCGGTCATCAGAGATGAGAATTTACGGAGGAACTGCCAGAGGTCATAGGAGACGAGGACACAGCCGCTTAATGCAGCAAGGAGTCCTGCATTGGGTCTGAAACCACAAAAGGCTGGTCAAACTCAAGGGAGGGAGATGTTCCGTGAACAGACCTGTGCCACGGTAATTCCCTGCGGTTGGTAATCCTACCACAGTTACCTAAAAGGTCAATGTTAGCAGAAGCCGGTGAGGGATATGTGAGAACTCTGTGCTGGTTTCACAACTTTTTTATAAGTCTAAAATTAGCTCAAAAATGTTAACAAAAATAAGAAATGGCAAAGCAGGACTCTACTTAATGTGAAAACATGTAGCTTGAGAACGCACCATTTCATAGAATCAGTCATGTATGTGATTAATTAAATTGGCCAGTGATTTTTTTTACTGTAGGCATTAAGCTGGCGTCTAAGAAATTAAAATGCTGTAATTTTTCTGAAGTCACAACACTGCTTTTGTTTCTTTTTATTTGCATGACACAGCAGATATGAAGACATTAGCAACCATTCCGCAAGCACCAGGTGCTTATTCGGTCTTTACAAATGCCACCTCGTTTAATCTGTACTTGTGCGCTTTGGGGTGGATACTGTTGTTCCCATTTTACAGAAGAAGAAACTGACTGAGCAAGAAGTAACCTGCTCCCCAGGCAAAAGTAACAGAACTGGAGTTTCCTCAAGGGCCCAGGTGGCCTTGCGAATAATTAAACCATATTCCTATGCACAAAGGCTGAGCACAGGCAGCTAAGGAATAGTTTGCTACATGTCTATTTTGAGGGGGCTGGTCAAGATTCCATTTTTTAGAGCTTCAAGTTTCACATTTAAGAAAAATTAGGAAGCCCTAGCCTGTTTGGCTCAGTGGATAGAGCGTCGACCTGCTGACAAAAGGGTCCTGGGTTCGATTCCAGTCAAGGGCATGTACCTCAGTTGCAGGCTCCTCTCCAGCCTGGGCCCTGGTCGGGACTCGTGTAGGAGGCAACCCAATGTGTTTTTCTGACATCGATGTTTCTCTCTGTCTCGCCCTCTCTCTTCCACTCTCCCTAAAAAATCAATGGAAAAATATCCTTGGGTGAGGATTAACAACAACAACAAAACACAACAACAAGAAAGATTAGGAAGTTCCTCTACAAGGTATCTCTTCAGAACGTTCAGAAATGTTTGAGGCACTGACATTTGTTTCACTTGTAAGGCTCCCCCCATCCCCTTGGTTGGGGTGGGGTGCAGAAAGGTGCTGGGGCCATCTGCTGACTGTGCTGACGTCACTCTCAGGTCTTCTGTGCTTCCTGGGAGAGACAGATTTGGGACAAACTTAATGAAAGCAGCTAAAGAAAGTGTTTGTTTTGTATTGTTTTCATTCGGGCTCCCATATGTTTGAAATTGAGAGGGGAGGGAATCTTAGTCTTTCTGGTTAAGAGTTAGTCACCTTCAGAGTCACTCAGGCTCCGGTAAACATCTTCTTGCACCTTCTCACACCTCCGAAGGGAATTGACCCTGGAGGTTCCCAGCGCCCATGTCTGTTGGTCTTTGCTCCTTCTCATGACTTGCAGGCTCTCTCACTGGTTCTCATGCAGGGAAGGTGGCAGCTCTGCTGGACCCCACCTAACGTCACTGGGACTGGGACTGGCTGAGCTGGTGTTGAGAAAACCTGTGAAGTGTGAGCTGTCACCTCTCCAGAAAGCCATCTGGAAATTTTAGTAACTAGTTACTTGGAAAATCTGAACAATGAGTTGTCATTTTAATCCTGTAGGGATGAGGAGGAAACCTTATATTTTTCTTTCTTCATTTTTGTGTAGTTTCCCTAATTCTCTTCATGTGGAGAGAAATTTAACAAACTGAAAACCAAATACCTAGAAAGATTAAAAATAAGCATCCACTTATAAAAAGCAAATCCATGCATGGGAATAAAACGATCTAAGTTATGGTCAGATGTCAGAAAAAATAAATCTCCCAAACAGCAATGCGCCAGGTGCCCAGTGAGCCGGGTGCCCTCGCTGCCAGGGGAGAAGGGCCATTTGGAGCTGCGTGTCTGTGTGTGAGGCCCTGACTGGGAAGATGGTAATCTTTTGGAAAACCCTTTGAATTTGAGAATGCACCAGGAACTTTCCAGTTGAGGGTACTGAGTCCCCAGATCATAGAACCCCTGGCTGGTCTGAGCCCCAGTGGTGCGGTAACAGCTACCACACCCTCGGGCACCGCCATTCCACCACTTCCAGCGCCCGACAGACCAAGACCTGTGCCCTCAGAAAGCTAACACCACAGAGCCAACAAGACATATGAAGACTTTTTCTTTGTGGGCCTTTTTACATTATCAAAGTTTGTGCTTGTTAGTAAAAAGTCAATTTACATGGCAGAATGAGAGAAAGTGAAAAGTGAAGTTGCCCATTTGGTTTAAGACACACACTGATCTCATTTGATCCATGTGGCAGCCCCCGGGGGTGGGGGGGGGGGCCCGAAGGTGCTGTCCTGCCTGGCAGATGGGAGCTTAGAGCCCTGCAGAGCCATGCAGTGTGCCGCGGACGAGACCAGGACTCAAACCAGACTGACAGATGTGGGCTCAATGCTCTTTCTGCCCCAGCTTCAAACGCATGCGGAGGGTGTCTGGGAGAGAGCTCAGACATTCCTGGGGGAGAGAGGCGCCTCCCGCTTGCACAGGCCGGCAGGTATGGCTCCTGTGAAGGCTGCGCCAGCCCCTGAATCGTGTGCAGGACTCCAGGGTTGGCTCCAGCTGCACCTGTGGGTGCAGAGTGTTCCCTTAAAGTGTGGGGGAGACAGGGCAGCAGGTGGAGGGGGCAGTCTGCAGATCGTTGTAAGCCCCAAACTTTAAAACTTCAAAATCCGACCTGACCTGAATATTTACCTGTTGCTTTCATTTTCAGAGATCATGAGGTCCAACGGGTTTTGTTTAGCAAATACGGAAACTATCGTTATCGACCACAGTATACCCAACGGAAAAGAGCAGCACCTGGGTGTGGATCCGGCAGAGCATTTGTGAGTACGCTGGTCTGCATGTCGTTTTACAGATGGATCCTGGAGCGGGTGGCTAGGGCAGACTGGGTTCACCCCCTGCAGAGCTCTGTAGGCAGGAACTACCCGTGGCCACAAACACCAAGCCATCCTGCATGTATTTGGACACTTATTTAGAGAGTTTTCCTTTTCTAGAGGACATAAGACTGTGGTCATAAACCTGTGGGAACACAGTTCCTTCGTCCTAGTGGCTGGCTAAGTGGCCAAGATTCAGGGTCTGGTCTGTGCTGGGCCCTGAGGGGGCACAGGGACCACAGCCTCCTTGGTGCCAGGCCTGGTCTCCTGGGATGGGGAGAAGCGGCACCTGTACCTCGGCCTCACGTCGCAGGGCTAGACATTCTTCAGACGCCCGGGTGCTGGGGCCTGGCCCGGGGGGCCTGCTCTGAGGAGGGGAGGATGAGTGACTAGTGAAGGTGGGACAGCCAGAAACACCACTTCTCCGTTCTTCCTCTCTTTTAGCAGAACTTTGGCCATGAGTGCCCTGAGGAAGCTGGCACTGGGCCCCCTTGAGGCACAGCCGCCTTCTCCTTGGGAATTATCAGACAGCAGCTTCAGGGAGTCATAGCGTGGCTTCTGTCGACTGTCAACAGAACAAGGGTTGTGTGGGTGTCAGGAAGTGATTTAGCCTCTCCTGGCACCTCTGAATCTTTAAAGTGGGACCACTGTGTCCTCCAGCATCCACTGTGCAGACCTCAGGTCCCAAGGGTGGCACACCTGGCTCAGGAGCCCAGAGGCAGCGCTGGGTGTGCAGTCTCCCTGTGGCCAAGAGAAGCACACCCATGGGCAGAGGGGCTGCTCAGCATGCCAGGCCCCGGCCCATCCACTCCACTGAAAACAAACATGGACTAGGACAGATTCATGCTGGGACACCCAGGCGAGGACTGCAGGACACAGTGTGACCCCAGGAGTGACATCCCCGGGTCGGGGAAGCCCTGTCAGCCCCATGGAACGGGCTCTTTCTTAGTGTCTCAGATGTCGCTCAAGTAGGTGGTGCAAGAACCCTTCACTGTGGTGTCATGAAATGCTGGCGAGGCCGAGGGGTCCCTCCTGTAAAATGCTGCTGTCCCTTTGCACACCCAGCCCTGCCACACGCGCACGGTACCTGCTGTGTGTGTATGGAGGGCGCGTTAGTTCATGCCGTAATGCGGGGCTGGCATAGTGGAAAGCCCTCCACAGTTTGACATCGATCCTAAGTGCCCTCCTGCAGTGACCTGCTGTACTCTCTCCGTCTGGGTGGCACTGGGGGTGAGCCAGGCGCAGCCCTCACCTTTGTCCTTCCTGTTTCAGGTTTGAGAACGGCAGTGAGTTCACCTCCGAGCCGGAGGACGGCGATGACCCAGCAGTTTATGACACCAACCTGTCCTATTACCACCTGGTCCCCTTTGAGACGGACATTTTGGACTGAGTCTTCATGGGCCCTCCTCAGCCCTCAGCTGCTGGTTCTGCTGCTATTCACTGGGCCCTATCCCACCAGGGCCCCCGTGCCTGCACTGACTGAGCACGGCTCTGCTGCCAGGCCCCGCACCGAGGCCTGGTGTTCTGTGGTGAGTGGAGTAGTGGGGGTTCTGGGCTTAGCACCGACCCCACGATCTCCAACAGCCAGGAGTCAGGCCCGGGAGTCCGCGATGCCTGCTGCTGAGGAAGGCCCTCTCCCACTGCACACCCCCGGCCTGTTTCTGCATTCCTAGGACTCGCTCGCTCCCCGTGTGGAGGAGCCACAAGTGCCTGCAAGACATCATGATGCCAGGGGGCCACCCAGGGCCTTGCTGGGTTCCTCCTCGCCTGTGACTGCTTCCTGGGAGGAGCCTCCTCCTGGTGCAGGGGCCCAGGGCCAGGCGCCCCTCCCTCCTGCCATCCCCAGCACGACAAGCACACAGAACAACCCACGTGAGATCCTGTTGCGTCCCAAGTTCTGGGCGACACAGGCAGGGCATATTAAGTAACCAGCCTTTTCCTGAGAAGCTGGATGTGTGGCTTCCATTGTTTTTCACCTTTTGTCTGGAACCTGAGGGCTGGCTTTGTGGCAGCCACAGTGGATGTTTACCGAAGGGGACTGTGGATGGGGGCAGGAACGGGGGACCGTTGATCACGGGGTGCTTATGAGTTGGGGCTGAGTTAGTGATGCTGCTCATCAGGAAGAGAACCCTGCCTGGCCTGCCAGCATCTCTTCAGGGGCCCAGTGCTATGGCCACCTGGGCCCCGAGGTTTGTCTCTGGTTACCGGCTCTCCACTATGGAACTGCCATAGTAACGTGAGGGGAGAGAGTGAGAGGAAAGCCACGCACTCGGTTTGCCCGTTTCCCTCTGCCCTCAGGGAGGGTCTGGGGTCTGTGTGCTTATTTCCTTTATTTCTTCAGTGTCTACTAAGGACCAACATCTGCTAATGTAAATAATAATAAATTATTGAAAATCCTAATTATTTTACACAGTCTGTTTTTAAATCTATTTTAATGAAATAAAATATATTACTCTCCTTTTCTGGATGTCGTGTTTGCGTATAAAGGTGTGCCTCCTCTTATTCCCTCCAGGGAGGGGTGGAAGCCAAACCCTGCCCTCAGGCTGGTCCGGAGCCCCGCCCCTCGTCGTTGAGCAAGGTGTTTGGTTGGTTGTGTAGAGTTTTCCTCTTCATGTTCCTCGTTGGAACATGTTCTGTGGCCCAGCTGCACACGCGGGATCCCCCTTCTGCCTTCCAGCTGTGCTCAGTTTACTGCACCCTCCTTTCAGGGGGCTGTTAGGTGGCTGATGGGGGTTGACCAGTTGCCTTTCTTCTCATGAGGGTAAAATTCACTTCTGTCCAAGGATAGGGCTGGTTGCTTAGCGGTTAAGGTTAGAATCTATCACCAAAGAAGTGGAAACATATGCCCACACCAAGACTCAAAAAACCAATTTGCTCATGTATCATCCAGTGGATATTCCTGGAATGCCTGTGTGCTGAAGGGGCACTACTCACACCGGAAACCGAGGCTGCCTGGTGAGCGGTGGGTGGGTGTGATCCCAGCTCTGGAATTACAGTGAGCCGTGAGAAGCACCTTACACTCAGGAGCAGCAAAACCAAAGCCATGTATCAAAAGGCTCCACTGTGAAACAGGCGGGAGGTGTCCACAGGAAGCCACCGCAGAGCTCTGGCACTCAAATCCACACATTGCAGGGACTCCCAGAGTTGCATCCCAGCGGACAGGCCACACACTGTGAGGGTTTAATCTTCTGGAAAAAAGAGAAAAAGAATATTTGTAACAGCAACATACTGCTGAAGATTGCCTCCATGTTTACTTCTGGTTATGTGCTTCTCCTATGTGAACACAATAACATCTTAGTGTTATCAGAGAATAGCGTGGCTTGCCTGTCTCCCTTCATGGTTGCCATTCTTTTATCGGAGAATTGCGTGGCTTGCCCTCTCTGTTGCTAGTGGGAGAGGGGCTCTAGGGGCGCCACTGGAATAAGCATTTCCAGGGGCCCCCACGGGAGGATAAGATGTAGAAAGCTTTATTTGTGTTGAATTACATCCCCTGGGTTGCAAAGTTGCATTTCCCTTAAACCAGTCCTGGAAGAAGCTCAGCTAGGGATTCAGCAGAGCTAGAAGCTGGTGTCCAGAGTTCCCCTCCCATGGTGGAGCTGGGTCCAGCACAGCATCAGCCCATCAGTCCATTCCAGCCCATCAGTCCATTGTGTGGGGCCGCATGGCTGTGGGCCATGTGGGCCAGTGCAGAGTGTGACAGCCCCACAAGTCAGGAGTCCGGCGCTAGCAGCAAGAAAGGGAACTCCCTTGTTCCGGAGCTTATGTATCTCAGACTTTACACCCTTGCAGAGCCATGCCCATTCCTTTTTTCTTTTCTTTTCTTTTTTTTTTTTTAAAAATTAAATCTTTATTGTTCAGATTATTACATTTGTTCCTCTTTTTTCCCCCCATAACTCCCCTCCTCCCAGTTCCCACCCCACCCTCCGCCCTCACTCCCCACCCACTGTCCTCATCCATAGGTGCACGATTTTTGTCCAGTCTCTTCCTGCATCTCCCACAGCCCTTTCCCCCCAAGAATAGTCAGTCCATTCCCTTTCTAAGTCCCTGATTCTATTATGATCACCAGATTATTTGTTCACTTGATTCTTAGATTCACTTGTTGATAGATGCATGTTTGTTGTTCATAATTTGTATCTTTACCTATTTCTTCTTCTTCCTCTTCTTAAAGGATACCTTTCAGCATTTCATATAATACTGGTTTGGTGGTGATGAACTCCTTTAGCTTTTCCTTATCTGTGAAGGTCTTTATCTGACCTTCAGTTCTGAATGATAGCTTTGCTGGATAAAGTAATCTTGGTTGTAGGTTCTTGGTATTCATCACTTTGAATATTTCTTGCCATTCCCTTCTGGCCTGCAAAGTTTCTGTTGAGAAATCAGCTGACAGTCGTATGGGTATTCCCTTGTAGGTAACTGAGTTTCTTTCTCTTGCTGCTTTTAGGATTTTCTCTTTGTCTTTTGCTCTTGGCATTTTAATTATGATGTGTCTTGGTGTGGTCCTCTTTGGATTCCTTTTGTTTGGGGTTCTCTGCGCTTCCTGGACCTGTAAGTCTATTTCTTTCACCAGGTGGGGGAAGTATTCTGTCATTATTTCTTCAAATAGGTTTTCAATATCTTGCTCTCTCTCATCTTCTGGCACCCCTATAATTCTGATGTTGGTACGCTTGAAGCTGTCCCAGAGGCTCCTTACACTATCTTCGTATTTTCGGATTCTTTTTTCGTTTTGCTTTTCCAGTTGGGTGTTTTTTGCTTCTTCGCATTTCGAATCGTTGACTTGATTCTTGCGCTCCTCTGGTCTGCTGTTGGGTGTCTGTACAATATTCTTTATTTCAGTCAGTGTATGCTTAATTTCTAGTTGGTTCTTTATCACAATATCAAGTCTCATTAGATTTCTTGAGGATCTCACTACATTTATCGGCGGTCTCACCAGTCTTTTCGAGGGCCTTACTAAGTTTATCGGCAGCTTCTAGACAGTTCTTGAGAGACCTTAAAAGTGTGGTTTTGAGCTCTATATCTTCCATTTCTGACATTTGTGTCCTGTTTCTTTGTCTCTGCATTTTTTTATCTTTTCTTGGTGCACCCCCTAGTGGTCTTTGTGCGCAGTCTTGTTGTAGTTAAGCCTTGATTGTTGTCGGTCGGCAATACCGGGGGTGATTTGACCTCCAGGCTAACTGGCTATCCCATTCCTTTTTTCTGGATAAGGTGTGCAATTAAGTGATTTTTAGTAAATTTACAGCTAATGGAGTCATCACCACAATCCAGTTTTAAATTTTCCTCTCCCCTTAAATAGATGCCTTGTGCTTGATTTCAGTAAGTCTTAATCCCATTCCCAACTTTGGGCAACCACAGTGCAGGCTTTCGGCCTTCGTGGATTTGCTTTTCCTGGACATCTTATAGATCACACAGAATGTAGTTTTCGTGTCTAGCTTCTTTCACTGGAAATGTTGCTGGGACGCCCATGTCCTAGCAGGTGTGAGTGCTTTATTCCTGTTGTGTGCAACAGTTGATTGTATTAATGTACCACGAGTGGTTTATCCAATTATCAGCTGACAGACATTTGATCTGTGGACACTTTTTGACATTATGTGTTACGGGGCTATGAACGTTGGAGCTAAAGTCTTTGTGTGGATATCCATGATTCTTTTTTCTTGGGTACATACCAATGAGTGGAATCGTTGGGTCAAATGGTAACTTTATTAACTTTTTAAGGAATTGCCAGACTGTTTTTCAAATTGGTATGCCATTATATATGTATATTCTCTCCGGCCTGTTTGAAGGTTTGTTTCTTTCTCCTGACAGGACTGGGTATTGTCATTCTCTCTGATGGTAGCCATTCTAGTGGGTGTGAAGTAGATTTAATTTGCATTTCCCTCATGACTTCTGATGTTGAGCACCTTCTCATGTGCTTTTTGGCCGGCCTGGCCATTCATTAATCTTCTTAGATGAAATGTGCAGTCATGTCTTTGCCCATTTTATTTAATTTTGAAATAATTATAAATCACAGAAAGTTGCAGAGTAGTAGAGAGGTCACGTGTACCCTATTCTCTTTTTGTCCCAGAGGTAACATCTTACATATTTTACTATGTAATCAAAAGAAGGAGATTGACATCAGTACAGTCCATAGACGTAATTCAGGTTTTTATCAGTTTTACACAGACATGTGTGTGTGTCCAGGAAGTTTCTCACATGTGTAGATTTGTGCAGGCACCACAGTCAAATGATGGAACTTGTTTATTACCTCAAAGATCTCCCTCCTGCTACTCCTTTATATTCACATACACCAACCCCACCCACCCCAGTCTCTAACCCTGACAACCACTAATCTGTTCTCTATCTCTATAATTTCATCTTTTGAAAGGTGAAATAAGTGGGATCCTACAGTATATGACCTTTTGAAATGGGCATTTTCCAGTCAGTATAATACCCTTGAGATCAGTACAAATTGTTGCATGTATCAGTAGTTGTTTTTTTGTTTTTGTTTTTGTTTTAGTATTTAGATGTGTAAAGTTTCAAGAAAGAAATGACAGGTTCCAGCTTATCTTTGGCTCCATCACCAACATGAAGGCAAAAGGTCAGCAAAGGGAACAGCCCCACAGAGCAATGTCTCTCTCTCTCTCAGGCCTCCGCCTTCTCAGCCTTTTCTCTCCCCCGGCACAAGCAGAGTGAGCACATCTGTAGTCCCTTGAACCTCTGTTCTGACACCCTCTGTCCACTGTGCCTTCACTCTCCAAAGCCCTACCAGCAGAACAGGCAGTATCTCCTGTGTCACCATCCCTCCATGTCTCTCTGAGGACAGGAAGAGTGACTAATTTGCCTATTATCCCATAGCCACTGGGATTGGCTGAATTAAGAAATGGGTAATTAAAGAAAATGTAAAAGGAGAAAGTCACAGCGAACAAAGTTCTAAATTATGTTTCCCAAAAAGAACAGCCAACAATAAACTAACATAAAGAAATACTTTTTAAAATGTTATGCCCTGTCCCATGTTGCTCTACCTGCACAGTGGAGGTTCTTAGGTTTGATTCCTGGTCAAGGGCAGGTACCTGGATTGCAGGTCCGATCCCCACCCCTCGTCTGGGCACGTGTAGGAGGCAACCAATTGATGTGCCTCTGTCACATCAATGTTTCTCTCTCTATCTCTTTCTCTTCCCCTCCCCCTCCATCCCTCCCTTCCACTCAAAATAATCAATGGAAAAAATATCCTTGGGTGAGGTTTAACCAAAAAAAAGTTGTAACATCCAACATCCAAAATTTCTTAATCTACAGAAATGAGTTGTTTCTCCCAATTCCATCACTCAAATCAGAGAGATTATTTCTAAGTTAAGGAAGCAATAACAAATGACAAATATTTTTATGGTCACTTTAATACCATTAATGACCTTTACGGAAACAGAGGTGGCCTGCATACCTCTCTCCATGTATTTTTATCAGTATTAATAACCATGTACACTAAAAGGAAGTTGA